ATTTTCCAGCTGGGCATCGGTAAAATCAAAAACTTAACGGAAAAAAATGGGGGTGGGTGGGTGGGTCAGAGACAATTTTGCACGAGGACGGATTTTTTAATTTTTCGAAAATTACGGAAGACCCCTAAAGGAGGTGATGTGACTTACAATCGAGCGTGACTTCTTCCTACGTAATATGTGAATGTACTGTATTGAAACAACTTGGCTCAGACCTGTTGCGACTTATCATCAAGTGCGACTTCTAATCAGTGAAATGCTGTACACTTAAGCCAATGCCAGCTTTCTTCTTCTCATTCCACTTCCTTCTCAGGTTCTGCTACAAGACACATTCGGGATTATAAGGAGCTTGTCAATCAGAATGATGGACAGAGAGGTAAATATACATACAAGTACGGATGGATGATGGGTAGAGAAACAGACAGACAGACAGACAGATAAACAGACATACAGACAGACAGACATACAGACAGATGTATGTCTGTATCTACACCCATCGTCCATCTATATACTGTGTGCATGTGTGTGACACAAAAACAGACAAGCGTGCAGACAAACAGACAGGGAATGCTGACCTTTCCACCCTTGAGAATATGATACCAGACGGATGTGCCACCAAAGTCGATACGGAAATCTGTGTAGCAGCCACCGACGCTCATCAGGCAGTACCTGTGACAGCACGGCATCACCACAAGCAACAGCAGGAGACCAGCAACAACAACAGCAGCTCCATCAGTAAGCCAGCAACAGGAACAGCACAAGTAACAGCAGTAGACCAGCAACAGCAACAGCCACACAATCAGTAAGCCAACAACAACAGTAGACCAGCAACAGCAGCGCCAGCACAACCACCAGCAGTAGGGCAGCCAGCAACAGCAACAGCAGCACAATCAGTAAGCCAACAACAGCAGCAGCACCACAAGCACCAGCAATAGGGCAGCTACACCTGGAGTACTATCAACAGCACCAGCAGTCGGCCAGTAACAGCAACAACGGCGGCAGCAGCAGCAGCAGCAGCACCATCAACAAGAACAAACAAAACACATACTTTTGCACTTTGGGATATTTCATGTCGACCAGTCGGTTGGTGGCCTCCTGCTGCAAAGCGCGCAATATTTCCGGCCACACCAAGTCCACCCAATCCAAATGACGTACCTGCGTGCAACAACAACAACAACAACAACAACAACAACAACAACAACAACAACAACAACAACAACAACAACAACAACAACAACAACAACAACAACAACAACAACAACAACAACAACAACAACAACAACAACAACAACAACAACAACAACAACAACAACAACAACAACAACAACAACAACAACAACAACAACAACAACAACAACAACAACAACAACAACAACAACAACAACAACAACAACAACAACAACAACAACAGCAACAGCAGCCTCAGCAAGCAAGCAGTAGGAAGAAGAAAAGACAAATGAGCAATTCGTACACGGTTACGAATACATACTATACAGCTTGTGATGGGGCATTGATAAACCAATATAAACACATTGCACAAACCAATCAGGAGTTAAAAATCCATACTTTCTCAGAACGAGCCTAAGCATGATCATGTATGACATGAGCCTCAAACGCCCACCAAACCCCCCAACACGGCATACAGGGGAGACAGTAGTGCAGTGGAGTGCTCAACTACAGTGCACTTATTTCTCACGGCTCCTATCCGGACCTCCAAGTTACGGGCATCTTGGTCTACGGGGAACCCTGTGAGTGAGTTTTAGTGGATATATTACTACTTTTCTACCAATTTGTGGAAAAACCAGGAGTGACGTAATATGCCAGATCTACGTGCCTTCCACATCAAGATGTACATGATTACGAACATTTCCAAATGAAGGGCAGAGCCCCCGGTCCCGGACCGCCCGGATACAACAGATAAGAGTGTACTACATGTAACGTTACATGCATAGGATTGATTGATTGCAGCCTATATCAATCATATCTTCTGAAAATTGTAGTCCAACTTGCTGTCTGATGATCGGTTTAAACCGTGAAACTCAGAGTTACAGCAGAAACGCTTTTGATCCTCTCAAGTGTATGTAGGATTGCTGACGTACCAGAATGGGTGACTCAACTAGAGGCTCCAACTTAGTCTTGGTGAACTCCAGGCTAATGACGTTGTAGAGTTTGTCGCGTTTCGCATTCGTGTAGTACCTGCACCAGAGAGTACACGGCGTGTGCCAAACACACGCACACACACACACACACACACACACACGCACGCGTACACACACACACACACACGCACGCGTACACACAAACACACATTGTAGCTCCACGTCTCTTGGAACCAAACACACACACACACACACGCGCACGCACGCGTACATACACACACACACACAAACACACAATGTAGCTTCATGTCTCTTGAAACCTAAGAAAACACCCAAAAGACACCATGCCACCAAGACTTGCACTGAAAGGCTTACTTTGTAAAGTTTGCCATGCTCATAGTGGA